TCTGGGTTGACTGGACTGATGTTTCTCCTTACCCTACTCCGCTCTCAATCGTTTTAGGGCACTAGACGAAGTTGTAGGTTGGTCCTCTGGAGCTTTAGCCGGAATTGCCGGTAGTAGTGGGGACTTACGGAAGCAGCGAATCCGGCTTATTCTAGACAAGCACCACGGGTTCGGGGTGTCTTAGCTAGCCGCCGCTCCCGACCGCCGCCCCCATAAGTCTCCACTACTACCCAAAAACAGAGGAAAACCGCAAAAATTATATGCACCCCCACCCAAAAAAAAGGTATGAAAAATGCTTTCGAATGATGCCAAATTTTGTATGGTAAGCTATTAACGATTCTTATTTAAAAATTGCTATTTTTGATCAAACCTATTAAAATTATAATTTCACACCTTCACGCACAAGCAGTCGTGAGGACTTAAAAGTGGTTGGGGATTGAGATTAGATAACGATCTAACATTTGGCGAGAATTTTTAGAAATCAAATAAAACGAGTGGGTTCCATATGATATTATGTATGCATTTGGAAATAATTCAACTGATTATAAAACCGTTAAAAACCCCCCGCTCCCATATATTCCAGCTACTTACATCATTTACACAGCAGATCTTCCGACAACCAACTTCACAACAAAATCAACAATTGCGGATAATACTGCAATTCTAAGTGGGTCTAAGTGGGCAGGGCACCTGCCAGAGAAACGCAAAACATAACAGCTCATCTTGTGCTTTTGGAAAAATGGCTTGCAGATTGGCGCATACAAGTAAACGAGCAAAAGTGCAAACACCTTTACTTTAAACAGACAAACTTGACAAACTACTGAAGTAACATACCTTGGAGTCCACTTGGTTAGAAATCTACTCAAATTTAAAGCACATCGAAGCTAAAAGAAATCTACTCAAATTTAAAGCTAAGAGTCTACGTCGGATAATAAACGCCCGTTTACCGATAAAACCGGAGTATAAAGTACTTTTGTACAATGCAGTCCTTAAGCCAATTTGGACGTATGGCTGCGAACTATGGGGAAACGCTTGCATTAGTAACTTAGAAATAATCCAAAGAACTCAATAAAAAATTCTGAGAACTATAACTGGTGCACCATGTTACATGAAAATATCCAAAAAGATTTAAATGTTGAGCTGTAAAAGGCGAAATCGAAAAGGTGAAAGCCACAGTCAAGCTTTAGGCCCACCCTAATAGACTTGCGCGGTCTTAAATCTGGAACTCTAGCCATACACGACACCGCCGAAAAGACCTCCCCACCCACCAATAATAGTAGGGCCACGTTTAAAATAAAATCAATTGTAATTAAATCAATAAATATACTAGATTAAGATTTGTCTACTTGTCGTTAGTCCCTAAGAGAGAAGATTCGATAAATAAAAAACAGTATAAACAAAAACATGGAAGCAATTTTTATTTACGAAATACTTTTTTAAAAAAGACGGATTGGACGCCTATAGCATACACTCATAGAAAAAATCAAGAATTTCGATGTCAATTCAAGAACGAACGATGTCAAAAGTAGGGTAAATTCGAATTTTTTTGATTCAAGAACGAAAGGCTATATTCAAGAACGAATTATTCAATCCCGAAGTTCTACATTTGAGAACGAACGTCATCAGTCCAAGTACCCAAAAGTGCTTGAAGAAAGAGCGAAAGATATTAATTTGAGTACGAAAAATACTTAATGCAAGTATGATAGTTTCTTAACCTAAATTTTTTTAAAAAATGTTTTTTTTTGTCTCTTTCTCTTTTTTTTCTTTTCTCTTTGACTCCATATGAAATTAGAATGAAAGAGAATACGATAAATTGATATGTAAAGGAAACAGAAAAGCAAACCTTATTTATTTTACTGCAAGTCGACCCAACCGGGATTCGAACCGAGGCCTTTGGATTCGTAGACGCATTAGCCGGTTGCGCCACACTGGCATCTCAATTTGCTGTGTATAAGAATTCGAAGCAATTTGTTTGCAATCAAATAGCTTTTATTTGCTATACTTTTGAGGTCAACTAGATAAAAATTTAAATAAAATTGAACGTTTGAAAAAAAATCATAAAAACCAAAAAAAAAAAAATTGATAACTTTGTCTGGGATTTGAGCTCGGGTTCTTAATAGCTTACCCCAATGTTTGATGTTCCAAGACACTTACCTCCTAGGTCAATCATTTTAAGAACGAAACATTCTTGTTTTAAATTTATAGTTCTTGTTTTTTTGTTAAATTAATAGTTTTTAATAGAGTTTACTGTTTTTAATAATTCTGATATTATTTACAAACACTATAAGCAGGGATAAAGCGAAAAATATTCTCTATGTATTAAAAAAAACATTTTAAAATATTATTATCAAGTATGAATCGTACTTATTCTGTACACGTTCGTTCTAAAAATTTTAAGAATTATTCGGGCGATTTTCAAGAACGTTCGTGCTAAAATTATTCGTTCTACTTTTTTCTGGGTGTATAGCTCCCATATGAACAAACGGAGAAATAAATAAATAAAAAATTCTAACTTTGCTGTTTTTTAATTTTTTTTTTTTAGATCTTCGACATGTAGTAATGATTAAACAATAAAAATATATAACAACATTTTTGCTTTAAATGTAATTTTTCTATTTTGTAATTTTTTTTAAAATTTTTTTTTCCATAGGAACTATGGAATAGCTCATCTGCAAATTATCATAGCTTCAAAGTTTTTAAGCATATACGCAAGTAAATAATAATTTTAATGATTCCAAGAATACACCCAGAAAAAAGTATAACGAATAATTTTAGCACGGACGTTCTTGAAAATCGGCCGAATAATTCTTAAAATTTTTAGAACGAACGTGTACAGAATAAGTACGAGTCATACTTGATAATACTATTTTAAAATGTTTTTTTTTAATATATAGAGAAAACGATATTTTTCGCTTTATCCCTGCTTATAGTGTTTGTAAATAATATCAGAATTATTAAAAACAGTAAACTCTATTAAAAACTATTAATTTAACAAAAAAACAAGAACTATTAATTTGAAACAAGAACGTTTCGTTCTTAAAATGATTGGCCTAGGGGGTAAGTGTCTTGGAACATCAAACATTGGGTAAGCTATTAAGAACCCGAGCTCAAATCCCAGACTAAGTTATCAATTATATTTTGTTTTTGGTTTTTGTGTTGTTTTTTTCAAACGTTCTGCTTTTATTTAAATTTTTATCTAGTTGACCTCAAAAGTATAGCAAATATAAGCTTTTTGATTGCAAACAAATTGCTTCGAATTCTTATACGGGCGTAGTACACAGTAAATTGAGATGCCAGTGTGGCGCAACCGGCAAATGCGTCTACGAATCCAAAGGCCTCGGTTCGAATCCCGGATGGGTCGACTTGCAGTAAAATAATTAAGGGTTTGCTTTTCTGTTTCATTTAAATATCAATTTATCATATTCCCTTTCATTCTAATTTCATATGGAGTCAAAGAGAAAAGAAAAAAAGAGAGAGAAACAAAAAAAACATTTTGTAAAAAAATTTAAGTTAAGAAACTTTCATACTTGCATTTAAGAATTTTTCGTACCCAAATTAATATCTTTCGCACTTTCTTCAAGCACTTTTGAGTACTTGGACTGATGACGTTCATTCTCAAATGTAGAACTTCGGGATTGAATAATTCGTTCTGAATATGGCCTTTCGTTCTTCAATCAAAAAAAATCGAATTTACCCTACTTTTGACATCGTTCGTTCTTGAATTGACATCGAAATTCTTAATTTTTTCTATGAGTGTATTTAATTTTTGCAATAGCTTCAAGGGTATATGAACTTCGGCTTGCCGAAGTTTGTTTCCTTTCTTGTTTTTATTGAAATCAACCATTTTCTGTATTGCGGACTGAGTTTGCCCGGTCAAAAAAATAGTAGTGATATTTCCAATTTAAAAAATCATGAGAAAACTTAAATATATTTGAATAATTTATTTGTCAAACGTTTGTTTGTATTGATTTAATTCGATTTTTGTAGAATATTGTAAGCTATACTTTAAAGCGTCAGATGTATGCTGCCGACGTAAAACTTTGTTTGCCGTTATCGAACTCCAATTCCCATGAACTTTTGCAAGCCGATCTGAACAATATGCATTCTTGGTGCATCCAGAATTTGCTGTTTTCAAACAACTCGAAATGTAACGTTATGTCCTTTCATCGGAAGAGGCTTTATTTCACTTCATATTCTAATAAGTCGAATGATCTTGAACGCAAACATTTCGTAACAGACCTTGGAGTATTATTGAACCACAACTTAAGCTTCTTGTCTTTATTAAACGTTGGCCTAAGGAATTTGAGGACCCCTATACCACGAAAAACTTATATATTTCCTTGGTTCGTCCAATTCTTGAATACTGCTCGTTTGTTTGGTCTCCTCAAAATACCAATTATCAGGACCTTATATAATCGGTACAGAAACAGTTTTTTTTGTTTGCCTTACGTGGTTTTAACTGGGATACACATCGTCACGTACCATCTTACGTGGATAGACTGCGTCTACTGAATCTGCCCTCAAGTTCCTTCACAAATTAATAACTGGACACGTACATTCAAGCTACCTACTGGGTCAAATACGGTTCTCCATCCCTGTAAGGTCTACTCGTCACTTTCGACCTATTGCTTTCGATATTTGTAAGACGAATTTCGAGGTACATGATCCATTTCGTGTTTTATGTTCGCAATATAACTATAACATATATACATTATAGTGTTCTTTGTACTGCTTTAATTTAATTAAAAATTTGAAGTGTGATTTTTCAATTTTTATTTCAATTTTTTTTTTAGGTTGAAAAATAAAACTTGACCAAAAACGTTTGAACCAATTGGTGTATTACAAAAATCAAAAAATATCTGTGAGCTATAATGCAATACCTTTCATTTAATAACTCACATACCGTTTTTATATGGGTATATCTACTTCAGGGCAGGGTTAGGGAATAAACGCCGTGAAAAGAGAGCTAGCCATCCTTAACCCAAGTACAACGCAGGTTCTGCCGGGATAGCAACAGATGAAAATATTTTATTAAACGGAAATTAATGGCTGTATGTTTTATTTGGAAACACAAACTTTGTATTATGTGATTAGTCAAACAGCTTTAAATCGTCCAGACGCTTTAATGTGCATTTCAAGCTCTCCAGGGTTCGTGTGTTACCTTCAAACATGAGCTGAACTTTCTGCCTGGCGAATGTCTCGTTGTGGAAGTTCTTCAACGAGTTGTCCTCTGAATCTATTCCGATCATGCTCATCAACGGAAAAAAGCCAAAGGCCACAAAGAAACCGTAGGCCTCGCGTTTCCGGATTTCGTCCATGATGCCGTCATAGTTGGGCAGCGGCTTGGCCCATGGCAGCTGCTGTAGGTTGTCCACCAGAATATTGTAGTATATGTCGATAAGCTCTTGCCGCCGGTCACGTAACACCTCCAGCTCCAAGCTAGTGTTAAGAAAGTAGTTGATGTCAAAGCCCAGACTGCCGTTGAAACAAAGCTGAAAGTCAATCTGAATAAGGAATTATAAATAAAAAAATAAAATATATCAGTCACTTTAATATTTATACATACATATACTTACAAGTTTTACCTGCTGCACCTTGTAATGTAAATCGTACTTGAAAAATATGTTGTTCACCCAAAGGTCGCCGTGATTGAGCACATTATAACTTCCACGCAGCGGGTACACTGCCTTTAAGACGCGTTCTGTAAAGTGCTCATGGTACCGGTATAGTTTTGTGGTGATCGCACCAAACCCCTCACAATCACCCACTAGAGCGGCCAGCTTTAGAAGTTGGGTTCCGAAAAGCAGCTTGAAAGGCTCCGACTTTATGGCGTCCATGTGCAGCAGGCCGAAAGGATACCGGTCTACGATCGTTTCCGGTTCGTGTTCGGCCATAACCATAGTAAGGGCATGGTACTCGGCCAACTTCCGCATTACCAGAGACGCGTGGTCGAAATCCAGTCCCAACTGGCGGCATTTCAACTGGTAGCCCTCGGAGCACAGGTCCTCGAAGACAATGGTCTGCTCCGGCTGAGTAGTAGAGTAGTAGTGCCTTTCACAAGGAAAATATTTAATAATGCAAAGTTATAGATTAAAATACACCTACTTGGCAGCCAACGTCCAGGGATTAGAAACATCATGTGCTATCCACATGAGGGTCTCCAACTTCGGCTTGATATTCATGTAGAAGACGGTTTCCTTGTTGTAAATGTTAAGGCGGGCCAGAATGGCCTGTTTCTCGTCAGGCATGGACTTAACGATCAACGATGTCTCCAGGACGCTGTTATTGGCATTGCGATACCGAATATGGGCTCGGTAGATGTTGCTGCAGTAGTTCTCTCCGCCACGCGTCAGATTCGTCAGCTGCACCCCGAGGACCTGCAGGTTGAGCTGCTGCAAGCCATGCTCCAGTGCGCGCCTAAAGAACTGCGGGGTTAGGTAGAATGGAGGCTTGTCCGCTGAGTCTGACATCATGATTCAATGTGCAACTGCGGTTGTTGGCGTTTTATGAAAAGTTTTGAGGAGGGGTTGTCGATACCGCATCTGCTTTCTAATTGATCTTAATAAAAAGGGCACATGGGGCGCATCTCTGACTGAACCTTCTTTAATTGCCTTAATAGAAGTGAATTTTTCGCAGCGTAAGCGGCCTAGCGATTGAAGAACAAATAAAGCTGGTCGTTGATTACTAATATTAGCCTTTTTTTTTAAATAAATTAAGTAGTTTGTGAGATATGGTATAGGTAAATTTAAATGTCCTTTATACTGCGGTCGGGAAGTATTTTGTTTGCAACTAGACGATTGATGATTAATCCACAAATGTTATTAATCCACAATCAGTTAGGGAACTAATTAAATGCAGTTTCGTAGCTTTGTTTCGTTGAAGGGCTGTACCAGCATACCACGAAAAAGTCAAATTTTTGGATTTTTTAAAGAGAGTATTAATAATACTTTAAAAGGATATTTATTTTCGTTACCCATAGAGTAAAAAGATATATTGTATTCGTTCAAAAGTATGTAACAGTTAGAAGGAAGCATTTCCGACCCTATAAAGTATATACTCTTGATCAGCCGAGTTGATCTAGGCATGTCCGTTTGGCTATTCGTCTGTATGAACATTGAGATCTTCAAAACTATAAAAGCTAAAGCATATCATAGTGATCGCATGCATATTCTATTTATTTCAAAACGGAGCCACGCCTACTTTAACGCCCACAAATCGTGAAGGTATGTTACTCCTAGACATATTATACCGAAGGTATTAGTTTTGTGTATGTCGGCCATATCTATCGGTAGACACAAACATTTTTAAAATCAATCTTTAAGTTTATAAGTTATTGGCAATTATGTTTGGCTAAGACGTCACCTCGTATTTGGAGAACGGAGGTCGAGCATGAAGAGCAGCGGAGAGTAGCGGTGCGTACGCATACTATTAAATGCAGTAGCGAGGGCGGGGTGCTGCTCTTTACCTACAGTTTTTTCAATGCAGATCGACAGATGGCGCCACTTAAAAAACAATGGTTTTCTGGTATTTGTTTTGTTGAGTAAAGGGTGTCTAATAGTCGGGGAACTGGACTCAGCGTTATTTCTTGTTTTGACATTGTAAAAAATCGATTTAAAAAAAAAAGTTACACTGGTAAACACCCTTTACCAAAGTTTTTATTTCAGCTAAAAGCTTCTACACATATGTTTAATAACAATAAATTTTGTTCGATTTTATGCTATTTAGCTATTAAGCTATTCAGCGATTATGGTATAGTCGCTCGATTTGTTTATGATAAAAATGTTGTTTTTAAATTTTATTTTAGCAGTACCCTGTTAAAAACACGCATACTGAAATTAAAAATTTGTCTAACTCATATCACATAATATATTCGTAAGTTATTGTAAAAATCATTTATTTAAATAGAAAACATATTTAAGCCTAATGTCAATTATGAAAATAATTAAACCAAAACATGTACATAGGAGACTACTATATAGTGTTAATCCGATCGTAAAGAGTATCGCTAAGAGAAAAGGAATTGCAGACTTTTGGAAAATTATTTGGTTCAAGTAAACTTCAGGATGATCTCTTAGGCTTGGACTAAAAAAAAATTACTCAAATTGTTTAGAACAGTAAAAACGTTCTTCTTAGGCTTGGACTAAAAAAAAATTACTCAAATTGTTTAGAACAGTAAAAACTTTCTTCTTAGGCTTGGACTAAAAAAAAATTACTCAAATTGTTTAGAACAGTAAAAACTTTCTTGAAAATACGCTACGAATGACACCTTTCTTCGGATCGGATTCAAGATGCTCCGTTAAAAAGTTATCTTATTATTTATTAAGTCGAATGCTTACACATTTTTCGTAGCACAATTTGACATCAGATATTTTGTATGTTGATGGTGCGATCGTCACGACTTTTTAACCTTGTTAAGACCCAGTACTCATATATACTTTCAAAATCAAAATATCACTTTCACTTAACTATTTCTTGACTTTCGACTTAAACTAAAAGGTTCACAACAACAAACAAAGTTGTGTGCCGTCTTGCTTGAGCGGCTTTTTCAACTTTTGTATGGGAAATCGCCGTGCGCGCACCGAAAGACACGTGTTACTCAAATATATGTTAAAGTTGACAACTTTAATTATTTTTATTATGTTTAATCAGTTTTTTGATAAATGAGAAAACACTCTTATAACTAAATAAGGAAGGAAAATATAATAAAAAAAATTATAACTTTGGTGTTTTTAAATTTTTTTTTTGTTCTTCGTCAAATAGTAATGGTTAAATATTTCAGAATTACGGTTGAAATTTCATTAAAATCGGACGACAATAACATAAAGCTCCGATAGGAACAATAAAAATATTAATTTTTTTTTTTTAATTTATCTTTTTTATTGTGTAATTTTTTTTTAAATTCTTTTTGATTAATTAATAATTTGCCAGTTCAGAATTACGCTTTTAATTTTATTAAAATGGGAAAACGATATCATATAGCTGCCATAGGAACTATCAAATAATTGAGCTGCAAATCATCACAGTTTCAATGTAAGGAAATCTTAATTGTAATGTTTTCAAGAATATTTAATTTTTGCAATAGCAGCAAGGGTATATGAACTTCGGCTTGCCGAAGTTTTCTCCCTTTCTTGTTTTCAGTACTTCGACATATAGTAATGGTTTAGATTTCATCAAAAACATTTTTATTGTTTATAACAAAAAATTTTTTTTATATGTAACTGTTCTATTTTGTAATTATTTACAAAATTTTTTTTTGACTTATTAATAATTTGACAGTTCAGAATTACGCTTTTAATTTTATTAAAATCGGAAAACGATATCATATAGCTGCCACAGGAACAATCGAATAATTAATCATCAACGTTTTTAAACATATACGCAAGTAAATCATAATTTTAATGTTTTTAAGAAAATTTAGTTTTTGCAATAGCTGCAAGGGCATATGAACTTCGGCTTGCCGAAGTTTGCCTTCTTTCTTGTTTTCGAATTTTTTTTTAAATTCTTGTAGACTTAGAAATAATTTTATAGTTTAGATTTACGCTTTAAATTTTAATCAAACCGGAAAACGATATCATATAGCGCCATAGGAACGATCCAATAATTGAGGTGGAAATCATTATAGCTTCAATGTTTTTAAACATATATTAAAGATTTCAAAGAATATTTAATTTTTGCAATAACTGCAAGGGTGTATAATTTTAATCTGACCTTCTGTACATTATTTATTGACTTATAGTTAACAATGAACTGCTAACTAACACATATATGCTAACAATAAATATAACTTAAACTAACTAAATATTATATGATTCAAGAAAATAGCATTTTCCAAAGATATTGCAGGGTATACTGCATTATAATTGGAACAAAGCACCTGAAAGGGCTCATGAAGGGCAAAGTTGGATCTACAAATTGGTAAGTGATGTTAATATAGCTTAGGAGGAGGCCAGAATTCACCTCACCTATGAGAAGCTTATACAAAAAAATTACTCCTTTACGTATTCTACGATGTTTTAAAGACTCTAGATCAATTACTATTAACCTTGAAGAGTAAGGTGGCAAACGCCTCACCGGCGCCTCACCGGGTCCCAATTCAGCTGTCGGAGAGCAAATAATAAAAACTGCTTCTGGACTGCCTCGATTAATTTTTGTTGATCAATATATTGAGGGCTCCAAGCAGTATTCCAAAATGGGGCGAACCATGGAAATGTAAAGAGTCTTTGTTGTATACGGGTCGTCAAACTCCTTGACCCAACGTTTTATGAAGGCTAAAACACCCTTAGCTTTACCAATGATGACAGAAATATGGTTTTTGAAACATAACTTGCTATCAAATAGGACACCAAGATCAGTTGCTTGCGCAATACGTTCTAAAGTAGAGTTTCCAAGATGGTAAGAGTGTATGTGGGCTGTAGTCCGGTAAAAGGACATACATTTGCATTTAGTGTGATTAAGAAGCAACAAATTGTTGGAACACCATAATTGTAATTGATCAATGTCCGACTGTGGGCGAAGGTATGACATTTGGTCAGAGAATGATAGGCAAATTTTTACGTCGTCCGCATACATTAGAGTAGAGGCAAATGACACTACTTTTGGAAGATCATTAATAAAAAGAACGAAAAGTAGTAGCCCCAGATGACCTCCTTGGGGGAGCACACTTTTGACAATAAAGGGTAATTTTTTCATTTAGAAATATTTAAGCATTAGCCCGTAACAGAGCTTACTCCAGAACGTCTTGGGAAAAATACAACTGGCGGTGTTCACTCGGCCGGAAATTATCCGACAATAAGAAACCAAGTCAAAGTTCCCCCAACTTTCCCTGATAATTATACCCGATACTCGTAGAGTAAAAGGGTATATGGTAAAGTGTTTATTATTATTTATTAATTGAGTCGAACTAATGTCCTGTCAATTGATTAAGGACAACGATAAGAGGAATAAGAAAACGAAAAATTAGTTTCATGTCTTTATTTGATTGATCTCAGCTTAAGACTATATTCTTGTGACAAAAATCTTACTTGTGCTACCCTTTGCTTACAAATTGTAATTGTACATAAGTTTGAGAGCGGAATCGCCCGCTTCGATTATTAATTGTATACAATAATTTGAGAGTAAGAGTGCCTCTCAGGGTGGAGCACTTAGTGATTGCAAGACATTGGTTGAGCGTGGGATCGCCTTCACTGCAAATTCTTTTTTCTTGGTGCATAACGGAATATGTGAATATGTCACTTTCCTCCCCTTTAAAAGGGTTGCCTATGCATGGGTTGGAATTTAGGGAACAATGCAGGCAACTGGTTTTGTGCCGGTTCTATTTATTGTTGTGGTTCTTGATTATTTGAAGTTTTGTAAGTATTTATAACTAATCAGATAGTTTTCACTCGCGAAACGAACGTAATTATAGTATTTATGTTAAACCATGGGTTTTTAATTGAAACAAAAAAAAAAACGACAGTTCGCTTTAAAAGTCAAAAAGGTTTTGTTGTGT